TAAGTACTGTCCGACACTGGACCGGAAAGATCACATGATTTTGCACTGTCCCTATGCACTGTCCGTAGACTTCCCGTCAAATAAAATAACAATAATTTAATCACGTGTAATGATGCAAAACAATTTTATTTATTACATGATTTATATTAAGATAATTCGAACTTGCACTATAATAATCGTCAGCCCGAATTATAATAAATACCAACCAATAAAATCATGTTCGTGTGATAAATATTCACGTGATTTGATTCAAATTTGGATAAAGTGACAAAGTTTAAACATCTATAACTTTTTATCTAGGATTTTTTGAAAATTTGATAGTTTAATAGAACTTATCTTAAAGAATAAAGTTATTGATTGAGTTATGATTTCTGGCATCACACAAAAGAAATATTATACTTCAAAGATTATACTTTTTGCAAAAAGAATTATTACTTAAATAAAAAAATATTATAAAAACATAATTTAATTCTAGTTGAAAATTTATTTATTTTATATGACATTCTGAAAAAAGTATAATTTGAAAAAAATATGCATCTGTTAAAATTTATTAATAAATATTCAATTATATAATATAATAATGTAAATAAATAATTATTATAAAAAGTAACAAATAGAATTCAGTTTTTATATACAATCAAAACAATCTTGTGGAATTATAATCTATTACATTTTGGTTGGTTATCTAAATTTATGAAACAATGCCACATACCAAATAAGATTCATTGCTGCACACTTAGATAATACGTAAATCATACGTAGCTCAAAAATCAAACAGGACCTTATTTATTTGTTATTCGCATACCTGAAACGAAAGAGAGCGACAATGTGACGCTCCTTAATTGGTGATGTCCAACAAAGGCAGAGTCAGGTTGCCGATCATTTCCGTAAATTGTCAAACAATGTTACATTAATTGAACCATCCTACAGGACAATGAAAAAGATGGTGCATCTTTCACTTGAACTCTTTTTTAAGCTGTTCTAGATAGCTTTAATTACTATTAATGATACATTGCGCGCTATTTCAATCTACACTAGGCAAAAAAAAGAGAAGAAAAACTGTTTAACAATAATTGCACCCTCTATCCTGCTGGAACAGGCAATCAATCTTTGATACTAATAATAATTATAATTATAATACCACCTAAACAAACAGTCTTTTCCAATCTATTCATTACAAGAAAATAACATCATAATGATAAAAGGCGCGATGAGATCATTAAGCAATACGGGAGGAAGTATACGAAGAAACGTTAGCAATGCTTCGCGAAGAACACAAAAGTCGGCTCCGGTCAAATTATCTACGGAAATGACTCATTTGATTGTTAAACGGTGCGCCGATGAGATTGAAGAAAGAGGTGACTACTTATTATTCAATTGAGAGGTATACAAGGAACTTGTCGAAGAGACTAAAATTTTTGCATTGTCTGTATTAGGGTTGCATGAAGTTGATATTTTTAAGCCAGTACGAATCGGAGAGAATGCTGATGAAGTTAAAGACCTTATAAATCGTATGCTGCAAGATAATAGAATGCAATTCGAGGATGAAATAAAAAGTCAAAATATTCATAACGTCGTGGCGGCAATGAAATGGGCATTAAGACATTGTGAGGTGACATTGGTTCCTTACATGTTTTATGAAGAATTTGTGAGGTTTGAGCAGGGTAAGTCATCATTTCATCCATTTGTCATTTATTATCTGTTTTTGAATTTTCATTTTTAACAATACATTTTATTAATGGCATGATAATAGAATGGGATTTTGATCCAGAAAAAGGATCATTTAGTCAATTTCTTTTATATCTTCCAAAACAAAATCAAGAAATTCTTTTATGTTTGTTCGACATTTGCGCCAAAGTCACAGAAGAATCGCACATTAATCAAATGTCAGCACAGAAAATTGTTAAATCGCTGGCATTATGTGTTCTGGGTGAGCAGGAGCGAAAATTTGATACTTTTGATGACGCTTACTCAGAGTATTCGAAATGTTCGAATGCGTGTCTGCATTTATTTCTTGCGTATCTGCGGGAGAAAGCAGTCGCGACCAGATTACCACCACGGTTAACACTTTTCCTGGATAACATTAATTATCTCGATGTACGAAAGAAATCTGTCGCGTCAATGTATATACATCCACAAACTTTTTTGAATCGACAAACTTATATGTCGACCGATCAGGATGAGGAGGGTGCGGTAAATGATTACCAATACACAGAATCGTATCTTTCACAGACAAATGAAGAATCTGATTATGAAGAAGGATCGATATTATCACCACCGCCGTCCACTAATAACTATGCGGCTTCAACCACATCAACATCAACAATAACTAAAAATACATTTCCAAAACAATCATTATCGACACCGTCTACATTTAATGAACGTCCCGCAAGTGTATTACGAGTGACACGAACGATTCCTGTACAGCAACCAGGCCAAACTCAAAATATTAATCCAAGAGCGAGTAAAGGAGTTAGTATTCTATTGCCTGAAATAGTTAATGATCTCAATCGTCAAACATTAGTTCGTGCTAGTGCATTAATGACGGTTGATGAGCAAAAAACTGCGCAAACATTATGGAAAGAATTTCAAACAGAAGGAGTCAGTGGATTCTCTGATGAGTTTATTAAATTATTTTTTTCACTGGATGATCGCGATGAACTTTACGAAACTGGTTCACAATTATCTCCAACATCTCCCTCATTTCCCTCACCTCTAACCTCTCCATCATCATCTGCAGAAAAACAAAAGAACAATAGAAGATGGTCAATTAGTTTTAATAGTACCAATAAGAATAGCAGTACTAACCTTTATGATAATAATAATAATAATAATAATAATGATAATAATAATAATAACAATAATAATGATAATAAAAATAATAATGATAAAAGTCGAAGTAACAAAGAAAATGGATATCGTTCACAGCTGCGAAGAAGTCAGAGTGAATTGGATAAATATAAACCAAAAAGGGGACCGCGGCCAATAACACTTGTTTGGAATAATTTCCGGGAATTCGGTTTTGATGGATTGGTTGGGGGAATAGGAAATAAAAAAGATCCCAAAGTAGAGCAACTTTTAGGTTATAACGATTCAAGTAGATTAGAACAGCTTGAAGAAATACAAGACAATGATTCAGGTAACGAACAGCGTCCAATTACAATGGCATGGAACAGTTTTAAAGAGAATGGGTTTGGGGATATAGCTTCAGACAATATGTCAGATGCATTCTCACTTAATAATACAACAATAAATTCACCCCCACCGTCGATTTTCAGTAATGACGTGCATTCACCTTCAGTGGCCCCGTCAATAGCACCATCGGTATTCAGCAATGATGCTAATGCTTCGGTCCTAACACATAAATCACGTAAAACAATGCGAAGTGGTACATCAAGTGGTAAATCATTTTCTTTCCGACGACGTCAAATGCCACAATCAGACGAGGGAAAACCACTGAGCACAGCAAGCAGAACTGTCGAAGAAGAAATACAAAAATGGCATATAATTGATCGGAAAACAGATTTACCTTCGACAACACATTTAGCAATTGAAACGATCGATGAAATATTTCCATATGTCTGGATGGAAAGTACCGCCGAAAACAAAGACGGGTACTGGGGCGATTGGGTGTTTATCGAACCGAGAAAAGGTCTGCTAAATGAATGTGAATGGATCATGATCGAAAATCAACAACATGTATTTGGAAATGATTGGGGTAATCCAAATAATTACAGGCAATTTTCGAAACGGCGGAGTAAACTTGGTTTTTCTTGGATACGAAGAAGCTTTGTTGGCAAACGAAGCAGTCAAGCCAATTATCAAACAAAAGTCAAAAGATTCAATACCACTCAAGCTACTTCACGTAATAATACTAGTAAATTCAGTAGCAGATACTCGAGAAGATCAAGCAAATCGACTAAATCAAGCAAATCAAAGAAAAAAGGAAAAAAAGTCGAAGGATTGCCACCGGGTAGTTATGCTCGTAATGGAAAATTATATCCAAATGCAGCCAGTGAAACTTATAGTCGTAATGATGTAAAATTAATGCCCAATGAGAATAACGGTCGAGATCTCAATCATTATGAGACCGAACTAAACATTGATAAAATTATAAAAGACATTAGACAACCATTGCAACATACTGATAAAGAAGAGTATATTTCAACGGAAACGTCTCATATTTTGCAAGAAGATTCAAATACTACCATTGAGACAAATCAAGAGATTTCCCAAGAAGATTCAAATACTACCAATGAGACAAATCAAGAGATTTCACAAGAACAAGACCAGCAATTGGTTGAACCGCCTAAAAAGGAATCTGCACCAATATATAAATTAAGTCAGAATGCGACTCCAAAATTAATACAAGGTAAACAAAATGACAAGACACAGTTGAAACCACAAGGATCACAACGATATAAATATATTGATATACCGAAAATGAAGACAACAGACTTATCAAATGAAGCGAAAAATAAAGCACAGCCTTATCCCACTGCTAATAATAATGTGCCTTCTGAAGCAATGGTCTCAACACAGCAGCAGCAGCAACAGACCCCTATAAAAAATCAGCAGATTCGTCCACAGGTTTCTCGATCAAATACACAACTTCAGACTGAAACGAAATTCTCAAGATCAAATGAGAAAATTCAAGCTTCAAATTCTCAAGAAAACATACCTCAACCATTACCTAACTTAAATAAAGAGTTGCCCATGAAACCTCAAATAATAAGTGAACAAATTTCAGCTCAACAACCGCCACCACCTCATATTCAAAGTGAAATGCTACAACCTTCAGTTCAACTCCAAAGACAAGCGTCCAGATCTAATGAGCGAATTCAACCTCAAAGACAAGCTTCCAAATCTAATGAGCAAATTCAACCTGAGCGAATTCAACCTCAAAGACAAGCTTCCATTTCTAATGAGCAAATCCAACATGAGAGAAAAGCTTCAAGAAGACAACCATATCCACAAGCTTCAAATGCTCGACCTCAACAATCTTCAAGCTTAACTAAGGAATTTCCATTAGCACCTCAAGTAATTAGTGAGCAAATTCAATCACAACCACAGCCTTATAATCCTCAATCTTTAGGTTCTGGATCAAATGAACAAATTCAACCTCAAATCCAAGCTTCAAGATCTAATGAACGAATTGAGCGAATTCAACCTCAAATCCAAGCTTCAAGATCTAATGAACGAATTGAGCGAATTCAATCTCAAAGACAGGTTTCAAGATCAAACGAACGAATTGAGCAGATTCAATCTCAAAAACAGGCTTCAAGATCCAATGAACGAATTGATCAGACATATCAAAAACAGACTTCAAGATCCAATGAACGAATTCAACCTGAAACACAGGCTTCACGATCTAATGAGCAAATTTTACTTCAAAGAGAAGTTCAACCTGAAGTACAAGAATCAAGATTGAATGAGCGAGTTCAACCTCAGAGACAAGCTTCTCGGTCAAATGAACGAATTCAACCGCAAAAACAAGCTTCCAGCTCTCAAGAAAGAATAAAAAATTTACCTTCATCATCTTCTGATTCAATCTCTCAATCACAAAACGGGCAAAATCGTCCTGCAATTTCAGAAATTTCAAAAATGCAAGAAAGAATTAAACAACAACCAGCATTACAGCAACAACCACAACAACAACCACAACCACAATCTACCGCTCAAAATCAAATGCCAAATAACGAGAAACAACAGCCGCAATTCCCTGTCGCTCCTGAAAGCTTGAAACCTAAAAACTCTCAATCAAGACACAAGCGTCCGCCACCACCTGCATTACCTGAAAAAAGACGGCCACCAACTACTACACAACAGACTTTACACCAGCAGCAGCAGCAACGACAGCCGCAGCAACAGTACCCTATTCACGTCAACCAACAATCTTCATCGCAAAATTCTGCCGCGCAACAACAGGATTCAGCCCTACAACAACAACAACCACCACCTATAATTCAAAACGAAAAATCACGTCCTTATGGCAATGATGAGAAATTGCAGTCTTATCCAACTGACGCGAAATTGCAGCCGTATACAAACGATGTTAAATTACAGCCATATGCAAATGACACCAAATTGCAACCATTCCCAAATAACGCAAAAATACAGCCATACCCAAATAATGCAAATAATGCGAAATTACAACCATACCCGAATAATGCACATGTTGCCGAAGGCACTTATGCAACAGACGACATCTTAAATGCGTACGCAAGGTCTGAAAGATCTGGAACTCTTTCAGATGCCGGAAGCATTTACTCGAATGACCAACGTAACAACATTAATACACCAACAACGTCATCATTAAAAGATAACAGCCAACAGACACCCAAAAAATATCAAGGATATCAAACCACATCACAACGATTAGCAGCACAAACTGCCGAAAAAGCCAGTAAACACACATCCGTGTCAAGTAATGGCTCTACAGCACCCACGAAACCCGCACGTAGTAATTTGCGTACAAAATTCATTGGTTGAGAATTTTTTATTTATGAACGGTTTTTGTAAATTCTTGGTTACGGATGTTAAATTTGATTTTTTGTTATTGTTATTGTATTTTTAGAATCAATTATTATATATTATTATTCATCATTCATTATTTTCAAATATACATATATACTATTACATATACTCATACCAATAGATAAATATATACTATATAATAAAATTATATGCGCATATCTCAAACAATTTTAACCAAATCATAGCTATCATTTTGTTAAATTATTTTTTTATAGTGAGTGTTTAAACTTCAAAGATAAAACAGGTTCTTCACGTGTTTTGATGATACTGCAAGGATTTCTTGGATTAGCTTCTTATTATTGACACTTTGTTAGACTTTGCAAAAATTATCACTTCATTACATCAACTCATAAGAAAAGAAAAATTTTTTATATGGAATGAAAATCTTTTGAATTAAAAAAATATTTGATTTTATTACCAAATTTAATTTATTCAGACTTTGAAAAATCATTTTCTTATCAAAAAAACTAATAAAAAACAACATGTAGTTGCTTATATTAGTAAGAACTAGTGAACATGAATAAAATTATTGATAGACTAATCATTGGATTTTTGATATCAAAGAATGTTTATATATTCACTTTCTAAATATTTCAATTCAAATTCAACTTATAAGAAGACAAGTTAATTATCACTTAAAATAACTTGAACACTTAATTTTAGATCAATTTAACTATTATAATGAATTTACTTGAATATAACCAACTTGTTAATTATTCAAATATTTTACAATTACCAGAAAACTTAATAGTAAATGAATAATAAAAGTTCAAAAATAAAGCAACATCATCAGGAAATTTTTATATCCGATTATAATCAATTATTATCCAATAATCAATTATCATCAATTGTTAATAATTGATTATAATCAATTGCAATCAGATATAATCGATGATTATTAAAATCGAATATAATCGATTTTTTGTTTAGAATCGGTAAACATCTATAATTGATATACTACAATAAATTTTTCAATATACTTTCTAAAAATAGTGTTCATTAACCGTTGAAAAGTGGCGGGACCATTTGTAAGACCAAACGGCATAATGTTAAATTCATAGAGACCTTGTTTAGTGACGAATGCGGTTTTATGACGATCTTCTGGCTTCATTTCAACTTGCCAAAATCCGGATGCTAAATCGATAGTTGAAAAGTACTTTGTATTTTTGAATGAATCTAATAATTCATCAACACGTGGTAATGGATATTGATCACGCTTTGTTATACTGTTGAGCTGGCGGTAATCAACACATAGTCGAAATTTTCCGTTTTTCTTTTTAACAATCACAACTGGGGCAGATCAAGAACTTTCGGATGGTGATATGATATCTTCTTTTAATATTTTATTAATTTCTTTCTCCAAGAAGTCATTTTCAAGTGGCGATTTGTGATAGTATGGCTTCAAAGTGATGGGACGTTCGTTTTCCAAATGTATTTCATGTTGAGTGATGCTTGTTTGACCAGGTGAAGTTAGATCAAATAAATCGCTGTATTCATCAAGTAATTCTTGCATTTGTTTTTGTTGTTCTAGTGTGAGATCGCATTCAGTAGTATTGAAATAAGAAGAGTTTTCATTTGCTTTTGGTATTATTTTCAGTTGGCAATGAATGTATTGTTCTTTTGGACAAATATTACATTGATTTTTAATATTGTGTGGGCATTTATAGTAATTTTGTAGCCGTTCTTGTTGTATTCGTTGGATGATAGTTTGATCAATAACTTCATTATTGATTATTATATTTGTTTCATTGACTTTGATGTTGAGTTCTGATGTGGTTTCATCGACGAGAAGTAGCGGTTGTTCCAATAATTCTTCTTCTTCATATTCATCATCTTGAATATCAATTTCAAATGGAACGTCTTCTTCATAATTGTCTTCAAGTTCTTCTTCATCTTCAATTATTGATATTGGTTGTGATTTTGATGGTGTATCTGAATGACGAGTTGTACAAGAGACTAAGGCACTATGACGTTCATTGTTTATTACAAATGATAACTGTTAACCAGACCAATCTAAGATTGCTTCATGACTGAGAGCCCAAACATTTCCAAGTAGTAAGTCATATTCTGCTTTTTTGAGTACGAGAATATTAATAGTATGAGGCTGATTTCCAATATTTATAGATAAATTTATAATTTCACCAAGCGGTCTTTCCGGTGTTCCATTAATTCTGATTAAGTTAATATTTGATGGTTTAGAAATTTTTTTGTTGATTTTCTTCAAGAAGTTAGATGATATGATGTTGCTAACTGATTTACTATTTATAATAATTTTTGCTGGGTGATTCTCTACAGTTCCATTACAATGTATGGCATCGACTGGTTGGTTATTTTCTTTTTCAACTATAATTTCTGGCTGTGAATTTTGACTGGTTTGATTTTCAAATTGATTATGAAGTAAAAGTTGTTGTAATTGCTGTTTTGATGAAGGATTTAATTGTTTTGCACTTCCACCTTCCAGGAGTGCAGAAATTAGTTTAAACAGTTGTTGTTATTATTGTTCTGGTTGTTGTTATTTGGTTGCTAATTAATATTATTAATTAGTTGTTGAATTGTATTATTGATTGGTTGAGTATTGGCAATGTTATTATTATTATTGGATAATGCTAATTGTAATTGTTGCAATTATTGTAAAACATTGTTGAAATCCATTGATTGATTGGTAGTAGTTGTTGTATTACTGGATAATGGTGTCAAACTAAGATTACTTGATTGATTTCGATTATTGTAATTATTGTTATATTGTTGTCGATTGTTTGATTGAAGTGTTGTTGGACAATTAGTTGTGACATGACCAATACCTTCACAAGTATAGCAAGTAATGTTACTATTTTGAATTGATTTTCAATTTTGATTATTGTTATAATTATTATTATTATTATTATAGTTATTATTGTATGTTTGATTATTTTGCGACTGACAGTTTGCTGCTACATGTCCGATGTTTTCACAATTATAACAGTTGATGTTATTGCGAATTGGTCTTTGAGTTTGATTATTGTTGTAATTATTATTGTTGTTGTAATTATTATTATTATAATTGTTATTTCGATAGTTATTATTGTTGTTATTGCGATAGTTATTATTATTATTATTATTATTATTGCTGTTGTTACAATTATTGCCAAGACTTTTTACTTGTTTTGTTAATTCTTGTAACATGGTGGTAATATCAATATTTTGGTTATTGCTTGCTACTGTTGGTATATTGGAAATTGGATTGGTTGACATGAACAAGTTATTAACTGGTAAATTGAAGTTTTGTGGTATTTGATTGCTGATCATTGGATTTGAGAAGAAATTACTATAAGTTTGATGATATCCAGTTTCAATTTGGATTGCGCAGTCAATAGCTTGATTCAAGATAGCAGGATTTTCTTTATTGACGAAAAATGCAATTTGTGCATTGAGATCTTTGACAAATTCGCAGATTTTATAATGCTCTGGATAAGCATTTGCTGGATCTATTTTTGACAAGAGAGATTTAACATCATTGGCGTATTGAGTGACTGATTCATTTACATTTTGGATGCGAGTGGCTAGTTGTTGTTGCCAAGAAAATATTTGAGTGTTTGTGTGAAATTGAACTAAAAAAGGTTGAGTAAAAGAGTTATTATTATTTTGATTCCAATTGTAAGGCCATTGATTGTCTAGTTGTTGTTGTCATTGATACCAGTTAGTGGCGATTCCACGTAAATATGCTGAGATGATTTGATATTTATGGGCATTGAACATATTATTTGCATTTGCAGCATGATCAAATTCATCTAGCCAGGCAACTGGATCTTCATTTCCATTGTTACTAAAAGATGGAAGAGGTACTAAAGCTAATTCTGATGTTGCTGATTGTTGTTGAGCTGCTAGTGTATTTGCCAATTGTTGTAATGCTGCTGCTAGCTGAGCTTGTGGATCTGGTTGTTGTTGTTGATGTTGTTGCTGTTGTTGCTATTGTTGCTGTTGTTGCTATTGATATTGTTGCTGTTGCTATTGCTGTTGATGTTGTTGTTGCTGCTGTTAATTCATTGTTTTTACTGGATTTTTTAGCTCATCTTCTAATGATGAGTTGTTTTGAACAAGTATTACCTCATCTTCATTGTTATTGTCGAAGTTTGAATTAAATGACAAATGCGCTACAGTAGATGAAAAGATGGATTTTGACGGTGCTAAGAGTTGTTCTTCTTGGTTGATAACAACACTTTACTTGGTTCTTGTCAGCCAATCAGAAAAATAGTTTCTTACTTCCGGTATAGAAGGTTGTCGAACTATTGATTGATGAGGTGTTAATGGTCAGACTATTATTTTTGATGATGATGGTATGGGTGAATTTGTTCTTGATTTTTGTTTATACACAGTTAACTGTTGTGGATATTTACATCTTTTTTTGTATGAATGTGACAGTATCAGTTGATAGATTTTCTAGGTAATGGAATATTTGATTTTTCAGTGATTTGATATGTGTTAGTAACCAATTGTAAAGTTGTTTTTTGGTAGGTTTGTTGTTTTGATTATTCATGGTTTCAGTATATAAAGTTCTGACCAGTTGATGTAATTTGTCTTCTTTTGGTGGAATTTCTTTTGATACTAACGCGCTTTTGAGAAGATTGTACTAACGGATGACTTCGGCTTGAATGATTTGTTTATCCAGTTTAATGATGATAATATAGATTTATTTTTCAAAAAGCCATCCACAGAGAAAGCACCAAAAATCTGCTACCGTTTCTAGTTCTTACGTATGAAAATATTTAGAAATGGTTAATAGTGACTATATTCATGGCAGATTTTAAATAAGAGAGATATAAATAAAGAAAATGAATGGTTGACAATAATAAATTAACAAGAATACGAGTATAAAATGAATATTTGAATGTGTTTGAATAATAAAACAATACTAAAACTAAATATACGTTATTAATCCAAGTTAGAAAGTGTATTGATAAAATAAAAGACAATATAAT